TTTTTTTTTTTTTTTTTTTGGCTCAATGATTTTTCCGCATTTCTTCTCTTGCGAACCCAATCCTCTTCGTTCCCAAGTTCTTCAAACTGAAATCTCGCAGTTTGTGAAGCTTCGAAGGAAATAGACCCGATTCAACTTGCGTGAACTTTACTGTGATTGGTTTCTGAGCTCGAATTGTGCTAACGAGTTCAAGCTTTGCATCTTGGCTTGCTGTGGTGCAGAAAAATGTACGAAATTTGCCTGAATTTTGGTTAGATTTATGCTTCTTCTTTTTTTTTTATTCTGTTTGTTGGTGTTGGATCTGGATTTATGGTGAATTTTGAGAGATTTTGTTGAATTTCAGGTGTGTCTGGATGAATTTTACTGTATTGAGAACTGGGATCTAGTTAATTTGCTGCATTTTTGTTAGAATTTGTGTTTGTGCTGCAGCTGGGGTTTAATTTTAGTTCAGTAGCTTTGAGCTTGAGTATCAACAACTATTTGTAGAAGTTGCTGCATGTTGCTTAGCCTGGATTGATTTTTTTTTTTTTTTAAATGCAGAATTTGGTTCACATTTTTTGTGACAAGAGTGATGTGCTGAGCAAATGGCACTTAGGCTTCCAGCTCCAAAGGCGGCTGAGGTTGCAATTGAGTCCATTGGGTGTGGATATGATATAGCAATAGATCTGAGATTGAAATATCGTAAAGGGAATTTAAAGGATTCTCGTCTGATCGAGATTGATGAAGATGGGGGTCACGAGATTGTTCTGCCTGGTGGTATTCCAATCCCCAACGTGTCCAAATCAATAAAATGTGATAAAGGGGAGCGCACAAGGTTTAGGTCTGATGTTCTCTCTTTCCAACAGGTGATTGTCTGTTCATTTTCTTTTTCTCTTTTCTGAGTCAGAGTAAATATCTTAATCAATGATAGTTATCAATATTCTTTGGCTCCTCTGAATTTCCACCCTTTTATTTTCTTTCTTTATTTTTTACTCTGAACAAGAAACTCCTCCCCCTGTGCATTGTTGGTTATGTATAATTGTTCCTATTTGTTTCTGAATACTAGAGGACATTAGTGGTTTGTATGGGCAATTATATGAGACATAGATTTTCTCTTATTGTTCAAACTTTGAATGCCAGGAGTCTTTTTTTTTTTCTTGTTTTTCTTGATTTTTTTCTTCTCTTCGTCACATGTTTTCCTCATGTCATCCAGATGTCAGAGCAGTTCAACCAGGATCTATCTTTGACAGGGAAAATTCCTTCAGGCCTCTTCAATTCCATGTTTGAGTTCTCAGGTTGTTGGCAGAAGGATGCAGCCAATACAAAGACCCTTGCTTTTGATGGGGTGTTCATCACCCTCTACACAGTTGCACTGGAAAAATCGCAAATGGTTCTACGAGATCATGTAAAAAAAGCTGTCCCATCATCATGGGAACCAGCAGCATTAGCTAGGTGATTGCTACTTTCTAGTTGTTGTTTGTAGTGGCTTGGCATTCATCTTGCATGATGAACAGTCAAATGTTGCAGTGATAGTTGATTATGAAACTGTATCTAAGCTCTGTGATATAATTTTTATTATCTTCCAGGTTTATAGAGACATATGGCACCCATATTATTGTTGGGGTTAAGATGGGAGGCAAGGATGTTATATATGTTAAACAACCACATTCCTCAAATCTCCAACCTGCTGATGTACAGAAAATATTGAAGGAGATGGCAGACAAGAGGTTCTTAGATGCCAGTGGACATCATGGCATGGCATCTGAACAAGTTCACCAGAGTGACAAGGTTGGTAATAAACATATCCATGGTCATCTTTAAACCTACATTTTTGATTTATGATGCATCAAGAAGTCCTGTTTGTCAATATGTACCCTGTTTGTTTTCACATCTTATGTAATAAATTGCCAACCACAATGTAGCGTAGAGCAATAGCATAAAATTAAAAGTTAACAGTAATTTGTCCATGTATAGGGGCAGCTTGAAGTTAGTATTACATATTGAAATGTTTTTTTTTTTGTTTAAATGGAGTTTTAGTTCGCAAGCAAACTATCATTGGGATATTTTTGGGAACTGTTACATTGGCATAAGATGAGTGAACAATTTCACTTATCTAATCATTTCTGTTTCAGTTTGAAATCAGGGAGCAGCGGCTAAGGTTTGCAAATAGCAGTCCGTCATGCTCATATGCACACAAGGAGGTTAGCAATGTGGATATCATTTAATTCCTTGATAGCCTGATTGAACTCCTGTTTTAAGTAGTTGTAAATATGCTGTTATTAAATTCTTAAAAATTGCAGGATATCATAAGAATTTGCAAGAGAAGAGGTGGAAATGATAATAGAAACCTTTCCCACAATGATTGGTTGCAAACTGTTCATTTAGAGCCTGACGTGATCTCAATGTCCTTTATCCCAATTACCTCTCTGTTGAATGGAGTACCCGGGAGTGGATTCTTGAGCCATGCCATAAATCTTTATTTGCGATGTAAGAAGGATCTCTCTCTCTCTCTCTCTCTCTCTCTTTGTATTCTGTTGCATTTGCTCTTGCATGCTACTTAGATGACATCATGAACAAGGTGTTTGAAGTAGAAAATGTGATCATTACCTATTAGGTTCCATAAATACATAATAGAGAATAAGAACAATCCTCGTCCTGTTTATATGAGAAGATGGGCCAGGAGTCCTTAATAGGTTGAACTTTTCTATTCATTAGCCTTTTGTAGATATCTGAGTGTTTGTATACATCTCATCCTTAAACTATTGCACATGCAGATAAACCACCTCTTGAAGAACTCCACCAGTTTTTGGAATTTCAGCTTCCAAGGCAGTGGGCACCAGTTTTTAGTGAGCTTCCTCTCGGTCCACAACGGAAGCAGCAAAGCTCTGCATCTTTGCAGTTCTCTTTCTTGGGGCCCAAGCTTTATGTGAACACCTCTCCAGTAAGTCTTTACTCTTTGCTCAAGTTGAACTTTTCTGGTTCTGTTAGCTGCACCCTAAGTGTTTGGTATTGTCACATGTCAGTAAGTTTGATGCTAGTATTTGTGTTAACTTGTACTTATTTGGAATTCATGTCATGGGTGCTTTGTCTGAAACATGTCCAGTTTGGTCTCTTCTGAAGGATAGGGCTATGCAATTTTATGATGGGACATGATTTTGCAGGGAGGTTCTAAAATGATGCATGAATTTAGTGTAAAAGGCACTCCGTCCATCCCCATCAAAGTTATAGTAATGCTGTTGTATTGTTCTCCATGTTAGTGTTAAACTGTTTGGAATCAACTCCATGACAGGTTGACGTTGGTAAGAGGCCAGTGACTGGCTTGAGGCTTTATTTAGAAGGTAAAAGAAGCAATCACCTGGCCATCCACTTGCAGCACCTTTCATCTCTTCCAAAAGTGTTCCAACTTGAAGATGATCCAAATGGGAACTTCAGCAAACAGCCCTATGATCGTAAATACTACGAAAGAGTTCAGTGGAAGAATTACTCTCATGTTTGTACTGCACCTGTTGAGTCTGACGAGGATCTTTCCATAGTAACTGGAGCCCAGTTACAAGTAGAGAATCACGGTTTTAAAAAGATACTCTTTCTAAGGCTACGCTTCTCAACTGTTTTGGGAGCTATGGTTGTTAAGCATCCAGAATGGGATGGATCACCAGGCTTGGCACCAAAATCTGGACTCATATCGACACTAATCAGTCATCACTTCACAGCAGCACAAAAGCCGCCTCCTAAGCCAGCTGATGTGAATATAAACTCTGCAGTTTACCCTGGGGGCCCACCAGTACCCGTCCAAGCTCCCAAGCTTTTAAAATTTGTTGATACAACAGAGATGACAAGAGGTCCGCAGGAAACTCCTGGGTATTGGGTTGTTTCTGGGGCAAGATTAGTTGTTGAAAAGGGCAGAATATCTCTCCGAGTCAAGTATTCTTTATTGACTGTAGTATTATCTGACGAAGAAGAGATAGAAGAACACTAGCAGATTCTTGTCTCCCTCCTTTTGTGGCCTTGGTCGGCACAGAAAGAAAGAAATCTAGAGGGAAGTTACATACGATCAAAGAAAGCCAAACAAACGTAATAGAGAGGGAGGGAATTGGGTGACTACATATGCAAATGACCATGTTTATACCATGAAATTGGTGAGGGGTAAACAATTGAAGAGGGTTGATTGGGGATTGATGGGTGGTGATTGTATTATTTTGTTGGAATGAATTTTGTTCTGTTTGTGATGTAGATTCTTGGCATTTCAGTGCAATCTGGTTTAAGGTATAACATACTGAATTGCACAGAAACTCTTCATAGGTTTTCTCTTGCACTATTATATGCACAAAAGAAGCCTGCGAAAAGACCACAAAACAAGAAAAACCTTAACTGAATTTGCTCAACTCAATTAAGTACAGCAGTGGCTACACACAATGACACAGCCTCAAGATACACCCATCAATTACATCATAATTACAAAGGATTAAAATTGATTGGTAAATCTACTTGGGAAAAAGAAAAATTGATTGGTAAATATACAAAATAGCCATGTTGCCATCCATTCTTTGATGTGTGGTACACTAGGCAAGTACAAAATTATGTTCATGGGAAGGCCAATATATGCCTTCCCTTTGGCAAGGGAGTGGAGCGGGTTGAGCAATATAGGTAGGGTATTGCTCTCCAGGCATCAATACTGAGAAATCAGAAGAATATGATATCGGTCCCTGCCATCATCAAAATTAAAGATCAGTTCTGAGATGTATGCATTCTGCGAGGATGATTCACTACAAAATTTTATTTGGTTCATCTTCTGAAAAGTTTCATTCTTATACATTGATGAAAACATGGTGAAATAGAAACAAACCGGAGCAAAAAATTTTAGAGAGAATCAGAAACTGTAGTTGCCAACATAATGGGATAGAGACTTACTGTTTGTGGATTTCCAAGTTTGTCTACTACTCTGGATCCCCGAGAACCATTTGCCATCTCTTCAGGTGAAGAAAAAGGAGGATTTGGCCTAAACAGGTGCTCGAAGATGGCCATGATGAGAAACATTGATATCAAGATGGCTGTGGCAACAAATCCAAAAGAAATTGCATTCATGGATGCCCCAAAGCTTTTCCACGGGACATCACGATCAACTGCTGTTTGAGATGGACTTGGGTCTGAACTTGGATGGAAGTTCCACTGCTTTGTTCTTTCAGAACCAAACTCATTCATAGTCTTTATACAAGAAGCCTCTTGGATTGCTTCTTGGTGTTATAGAAATGGGGGTTAAGTTGCTGCTAGTGGGGAGTGATCAAAACATGCTCAAATCTAAGTCAGACTAAGCTGCAACTATTGTTCTCAGAAGATGATTCTCCTAATCCATGGACAGTATACAGTTCCTGAAAACAATCACAACTTGTTAATAAACAGACAACTGGTATGGTCTCAACAATAAAAGATTCCAAATGCACAATGTTGTGAAAATGTTAAAATGAATGAGGACTTCTGCTAAAGACAATTTCATTATATCATTAGCCGGAATGAGCTATATCCAGTATCCACCCTAATGGACAAAGTTTTAAGACGAAGATGAACAAAAGTCGCAGTTGGCGACACTGACCCAGCACTAAACTGAACATTTCCTAATTATACAAAACAAACAAGAAATGATAAATGTTTAATGAAAAAAAAAAAAGGAAGACTGAGAAAAGGGCATTAATCAAAATACACGCTGAATCCCTTTTCTAGGGGCTGAAATGCTGGCAACCATGATTACAAATGAAGACAAACCCATCAATACTTACCAAGAGAAGAAAAGATTGAGAATTTTTTTTTGTTGGGGGGGGGGTAGGAGAAGGATGAGTTCTCAGTCGATCTATTCAGCTGTGAATTTGACATTGTGAGAAAAGGGGGAATATAAACTAACCTGTTGTTCAAGGAGATTGAGTCTTGGACTTTGAGCCCCGAGAGCTAGGAGCATACATTATCTATGGTTCTCCAATCCTAGAGCTTAACTGCCCAGGAAAAACAAGACACCCACACTTCTCAATGAATTTATTTAAAGAAAGCAGGTTGAGGCCATCTAGCTTTATAGCACCAATTGAAAATGTAAGGACAACGTTATATGATAATCCTTAGCAGTACACTTTTGTTTTGATGTTGCATGATCTTGATGCCTAACTTAATAAATACTATACCTTGTCTGAAGAGGCAAACTTAATAAAGGAATCAAAAGCATGGGCCTTGCTGTCTTCTATGGCCAAAACACGGAGTGGCCTATTGGTGCCTTTTAAAAGTCATCACCTTTAACTACTGATATTCAATAGCATGAATTTATCTGAGTTTGAGGGGATGATTACTAGTTATAATTTCTCAAACGCTCCAATAATCAATGGTTAGATTTCTAAGGTCAAATTCAAAGATATAATTAGATCCACTAGCTGTTGAGCAGATTTTCACATGAAAGATGATTATAACTATCATTAATTAAGAATTAATACATGGTAAGAAAAGAGGGAATCCACAGGTTAATGGGAAGGATTGGAGTTAATGAAATCGCTTGATGCAGAAAAATAACTTCATGACCTACTGGATTAAAGGTTAAACTTAAACAGTCTCCTTCATATCATTGATGCCTAACCATATTCATTATCTAACATAACTATCCAGAGGCAATCATGGTAAAGATGACCAAAATCTCTTTCATAATCTCCCACTAAGTAAAAGAGAGGAAAAGAAGAAAAAGAAAGACAAAAGCTAATGAAGAATATTTAGGATTGGAATAAAAGCCTGCAACATGGGAATTTATATGTACAATTTTTTTTTTTAAAGGCTAAAGCCTGAAGTAGGCATGTGATTAAGAGCAGAGAAACAATAATGGGATATTGAACTCAAGATGAAAATATGAAAAGAGAAATTAAAAGACAAAGTTCAGAGAGAATGGATGTTGTATACCTACCTTACAGCTATGCAGTGCCAGAAATGCCATGATTCAAGAGAAGAAAGAAACGGATCTGTAGCAAAAGGAAAAAAGCTAGAAAAGGGGGTGATGTAGACCACAATTATTCCTCATATATTTCCTTAAAGTAATCGGCTGAAAGAAAGCCGTAACTTTATCAGAAACACTAAAACAGTAGTTGGACTACCTACAAAATCTATTTTCAACAGTAAACATCTGTCCCTTCTGTCAATCTTCCCAACAGAGGATTTACATTTAATCCTAAGAATAGATATGGAGATTGGAGAATTCTTGAAAACAAATGAAGCATATAATCACAACACAGACCCAGACAGAAAAAGAGCTTCCTTTACCTAAGATGCACTGAGCAACACCCTTTGTCAACAAGATAATGAACATGTCTGAGAATGATGTGAAAGCCTACCCAGACCCATCCAAGAACAAGAGTAAAATTCTTCAATTTGAAAGATGCTTTATTCTAGTTGGGCATCTTCTTTATGCTGGACTGGTGGGTATATGTAATATTACAGATTCAACAGCATGAAATATGATTCCACACTAATGTTTTTAACTTTGCTTTTCAATTGACTAGTTAAAAACAAAACCCATTTCGTGCATAAAGGTCACATTCAAGAAAGACGATTACTTCCAATTTCCATGTAAGACATAATTCTACAAGAGAAAGGGACCCATGATAGGAAAGTGCACTAAAGCAGATCTTGAAGAAAAAAAGACACACAGATGGAAGCATATATCTATCCACATTCCTCTTTTTCTCCTCTTTTCCAAACCAAATCCTTCACTGAAGCAACCTTTCCCTTTCCCAACAATTAACCCAGAATTTTCTCAAAGCTTGTAAGCAAAACTAAGCAAAATCATATTCCATGGACAATCACATGTGCCAAAAATTACTCCTTTTTGGCAATCATATACATATACGGCTCAACTTTTCCTCTTTTTGGGTCTTTCACGTTCACCACTGAAACTCCATGTGCATCCTTCTGCTTCATTCTCTCTCTCTCTCAATCCCATGGCCAGCCCAACTGCTCATTCACATACTCAAGTGGGCTCGATCATTTCCTCTTCAATTCATTTCATCAATAGTCCGTCGTCTTCTACCTCTACGTATATAATTTTACTTCACTTGAACCTTTTGTCCTTCTCATTTGATGCCAATCAAATTTTCTTCATTTTTTTTTTCTTTTTTTTTTTTTTTTCAAATTAACAGTTTTAGCTTGTCAAATTGTACAAATCAACCCCTAAACTTACAGTGTTGCGGCAGATCGCCCCTCATGCTTTTTCTGAAACAAAGCGCTCCTTCTCCAACAGCTGACGTCAACCCGTTTAGTCTGCCCTATAATTTCTCTCTATGAATTCTTGTAATTCTGAATAATTTATTATTTTTTAAAAAATTATTTGCACACGCACATTTTATTTTATATATTTTTACATTATTATTGTTTTTTCCTTGAAAAAAGAGTATCATATAATTAAAACTATCATGGATATAACCAAGAAGTTACTGACAAAATAGAATTGAAAATTCAAAAATAATAATCCGTTTTGGTGAACTAAAAACTAATGCAGAGAAATGTACTAGACAGTTTAATCATCCTTTCATTATTGTTTCACATGCTCACTCAAGCCTTGAGCCTTCCATAGAACTTTGCCTTCTCCTCTGCTGTCTGGAACCTACCATGGCCAAATTTGGAGGATGTATCGATGAACTTGAGCTTAATCTCCTCCAAGGCAACCCTAGATGTCTGGTTCAGGAGAGACTGCCTCAAGGTTACAACTCGCTTCTTTGGACCCACGCAGCAGCCCTTGATCAGCACATAATCTTCTTTCACCACTCCGTAGTGGGGGAATCCACCAATTGGGGTTATGTCTTTCTCAGTCCTGAAAAGAGAGGAAAAAGATGTAAAGTAAGAATAAAGAAAGAAAAAGGGGGCAACTCAAGAAATGCATCAAATGAAAAAGATCAAGCAACCTGTCATAATCAGTCATAGCAGAATGAGACTCCTGGCCAGCCTTCCCAAGCTTGTAAATTTTCTTATTCATCTCAGTGCGATGATGATAACCATTTTGACCAGCCCTGGCCACAGTGAAAGACACTCTAGCTGGATGCCAAGCACCAATACAGGCCACCTTTCGTAGACCTCGGTGGGTCTTACGAGGAAGGCGGGTGACACCCCATCTTGTAACCACACCTTCATAGCCCTTACCCTTTGTCACACCAATTATATCAATCATCTCATCTTTCTGGAACACAGCATCAACAGGAATCTGCTTCTCAAATAAACTGTAAGCATAGTCAACTTTCTTGGCAACATCTCCACCATTAACTTGAATCTCCATTAGATGAGCTTTTTTTTGTTTCAAACCCTTCATTTTTCTGATCTATAAAAACCAAACAATTAAAGATATCAAAGACATCAGAACTTCATTCAGTTTTAACGTATAACTGTTAAGGTGGTAACACCATCAGCTTATAGGATCTAATACAAGAATAGCAATTTACAATACCTGTGTGTGTGCCAAAACACGAATCACAGTACAGTACTTTTTCATTTTCTCCAGCTGAGACTGGATGTCCTTTTTACCATCCTCAGTTTCATACTTCTTTGAATACTTGGTGAAAGCCTTCTTCTTGGACTTGCACCAGTTCTTGTAGAACCTTCTCTTTACCTCCTCACTAAGATGCTGAGCCCAAACAGTACACAGAGAACGAAGCCCACGAGGTGTTTTGACATAGCCAACAACTCCAACAATCACCATAGGAGGGGCCTCTATAACAGTAACCGCTTCACAAGTCTCCTTCTTGTGGAGCTCTGTAATAACAGAGCACCATAAACAATCAAAAAACTATTGGTTGCTGATATAAGAATAAATAGATAAATAAGTAGATGTAGCCTTCAGATGACAGCTTGTTAATGCTTCAGGTCACAGGCAGTGTCAAGGCATGAATGAATGGAGTATGAAAATCCGTCTTAGAACATTACAACTTCTAATTTTTTATTACAAGAAAGATACAAATGATAAGGTAATGCTACATCTTAGGAGTTAATACGGAAGTTGATACATACTTGATCCAGGTTTCTCAACTTCTCTAACAATATGGGTCATCCCAGCCTTGTATCCAAGAAAAGCAGTTAATCTGCATGGCTTGGTAGGATCATCTCTGGGAAATGCCTTCACTGAAAGAAACCACAAGAGAATAAAAGAAAAAAAAATGAGGCATATTTCTACTATTGAAACAAGTTTAGTTGCTCCAAAGAAAAAGGGTGGAATGTGATACCAAACAAAATGAAATCTAACATGAGGCAAGTTTAAGCATAGAATAATTTAGAGAATTGAACAAATACATTCATAAAAAACATAACAAGGTATAACTTTTTTAGCAACCTTTTCCTCTGTGACGGGAGGCTCTTTTTCTTGGAAGAAAGCCCAGAGAGCCATGCCTTGGATGTTCAAACTTGCGGTGAGACATGTTAACTCAGAAATACCTGCGAGATTTCACAAACCTCAATCCTATTTTCCGATTAAGTTAGAGAACAATATGCCGTGCATATATGTGTGTCGACATCTAATATTGGCACTACATTTATATACAAAACAATATGGAGAACAATAGGCTATGCATTGAAGATAACAAGCTGAGTTTTTTGCATAGCAATGCCCAAGGCAATTAGAAACTTTTACATTGGCTCCAATAGGTACAAAATGAGAACAAAAAACAGGTACCAAGATTTCAATAATAAATCGCAGAACTGAAGTACTAGAGTGTATTCTCTTCCAGAAAACCATAAAAAATTCTTTTAAGGAAATCAACCAGGCAAAAAGAAGTTCATCACTTTAAAATCACATTGGAAATAAAAATACATAGGCACCCCTGAGGCCGACACAGATGATATTACCACCATCTCCAACAAATGACAGGAAATGATCCCCAGACCAAAGGCCTATGGCATAAACTTTGTATGCCAATTCTCGGGCTCATTGGTATTTCTTTCCAAATACCCATTACTTGGGCTTTGGCAAAAGAGAGCCATTTTTGAGACACCAGCCTTGATTACTCACCATGTCTTTAATGGGGAAGTCAATTCCATCACTTCTGGCAGAAGGGGTAATACCAAAATGCCACCAAACAAACAACAAGGAGAGTTTAAACAAGAAAAAGAACCTTAAGAAAATAAGCTCAAATCTATAACTAAGCTGAACTAAAAAAGCCACAAGACCTTATCAATCCTTGAATATTAATCACGTTAGAAGCCTTTTTTTACTAGTTTTTAACTAAGGAAGCTCTTATTACTCCCAAATGCAGCATATAAATAACAACACAATCAGATGCATCAATATAAATTTCAAAACCCACCCAATTCATACAATATCCGTCCTTCAAGATAACATATAGAAACACCCATACCACCAAATCGTATTTACCCATTGGAAAACTACCATTAATATTAAGAACCCAAATCAGAAAATCGATAGACAATGAGTTTACCAGAAAATCAATACTTCCCTGACCTTGAAAATGAAAATATTAGCTAATATTCATCAAAAAAAAAAAAAATTACAGTTCAAAAGGAAAATTAACCAAACATAAGAACAGCCAGTCGGAAAACTGAAAGATAATACCTGACGATCTAGAGGTAGAATGCCGCGGTTGTTTTGAGTTGCTATGAAACCCTAGATTTGTTTGGCGGGGGCTTTTATAGCGCGATCGATAATGATTGGACGGCTACGATTACTTTGACTGGTTTATATCTGCCGTTGAATCGAATAAATTAGGGTTTTATGTGTTTCTGCGAGTTTAGTGAGTTGGAAACCACAGCGCGGCGGTTCGAAAGTGGGCTGGACCTTTTAGGACCAATTTATCTTCTCAAATCGCAACAAAAACAAAAACCCAGAGCGGCCATGGAGAAACGGGCTGGACCATTTCCGCTCAATTTAATTTCTTTTGCAAAAGAGGCCCAGGCCCAGAGACCCATTTCTATATATCCATACATTCCAAAGATTGAGAAGTCCTGGGGCACTCGCCTCTTGCACTCTCCGGCCAACACTTCCCCTTTCATTGGGCCACGTAAGCTTGTTTAAGGCTTTGAACCGCAACTCTTACCGATGAAAATAACGTGGCCCAATAAGGGTGAAAGTGCTCGCCGGAGAGTGCAAGAAGCGAGTGCCCATAGCACTGCTCCCAAAGATTTGACGTGCATGACTGGTTGTGGCAACCGGTTTTAACGACGACCGATTTAATTTTGTTAAAAGTCATTAATAATTATTAAATTATTATCTTCATCTAATTATTAAAAATATTTAATAACTGATAAAATATTTATTATTTATTACATTTAAATCAGTTATAAATAGATATTTTAAATATTATATCAATTATTTAAAATATCTATAAATTTATAAAATTTTTAGATAAATTAGTGATTTGATAATTTAATTGATGACAATAACCTATCTCGGACACCATAGAAGGATCATATCGTCTACTTTTAGTATGCGGCTAGGTTAATGGAGCAAGCAATGGGCTCAAGGCGAATAGGCGTGGTTAATTGGTTATGGGGTGGGTGTGTTTCTCACTAAGATTAGTGGTTGGTATGCCTTGACCTTGGAGTGAGATAACCTCTTTCACACACACAAGATAGAGGATCATTATGAGGCAAGAGTGACATGTAATTAGGTAGAAGACAGATGTATTAATGCCCTAATATTTTGCAATTTAAGACCATGTGCAAAGTATAAAATTATGACTATGAATAGAGGGAGGGTTTGCAGCATCATGGGCACAAAATACGTAAGATTACTTTAATGGGAGATGCGCTACACAGCAACAAGTTCAAAGAGACCACTTAAAAATTTGAGTGTCCTCAAGATCTCATTGCATTGCATCTGTATATTGGAGTTGGATATGCCTTCCAACTTGGAAATTCTTAGGAAGCAATAATAACTCAGAATGATGACTGTGTGCATGCCTCTGAGCATAGAACTGTATAGGTAAAATAGAAAAATTTAGGGACAATGATGTCTGAAAGACATTGTGTAGATAAAGCGACTAGATTGTGACTTGGATTTCCACCAATTGCAAGGATGACATAACCCCACATCATGGCAAGGTCAAGCCCATAATATTGGCAATTGGGACAGAATTATCAACTACATTATGTGTAGGGCAGCAGCCCTTGATTGTAGGGTTCCCCCAAAGGTATTTCATCCACCCTTTTTCTAGTATTTTTTTTTTTTGGATTGATTCCTTTTCCTTACATACTAGATTCCTGTTGTAATCCAATAACCATGAATCCATGATAATAGATTGGGGACAATTATTGGATCAAAACAGCTAAATATGATATATTACATACAGTGAAAATGAATAAGTTGAAATGAAGTACTGCAGAGTTTATTAAATAGGCCGTGCTGTCAAAAATACCCTAGATGATGTTTTGTTACAAGAAACATTTTTTAAGGATGTTCCTAAGTGATGATAGATATTGTTTTTTGAAAACTGTTTAGGATGTTAGAAAACACGTTCCTTAAGTATCAGTGGAAACAAAAGACATAGATATTACTGATTATGAGGTTGCTAGCTCTTTGTAGCTTTCATGCATTATTTTGAGATAGCATCGCGAAAAAGCCCTCCACTACTGAGTTCCTGTCTTATTATGCAGTGGTGTGATTTGTGCTTTTAAGGTGTTTGATAAGATTACTCACCCAAGATTAGAATACCAAATTAACTCCCCGTTACCTTGAAACTCCTTGTTCCCTTTCTTGAAGAAGAGGTTCAAGGTTAAAACTCCCACTTTCCTATGTCCTAAATGTACCAGAAAAAACATAGCTGTAAGAAATTTGGGGACATGGGGATTGCACATTGGCACAGCCAAAGCAAAAGGTTAAATCAGTTGCTTTGCCTTTCAGTACAAATGCTTTGAACAATTAAAGGGACTCCAAAAGCTGTGGTACTGTCCATGGAAGTGCCACAAACATTCATCAAAGGAAGAAAACAGTAAAAGGGTGAGTCAGAATGTCCTGCCGCTTTAATTTTAGTGTCTTATGAATTTGTGTGCTATATCAACTGAGGACTGCCACTCACTGCCCATTGGCACTAAGGAGCTGTGCATCTTTCTGAGTGGTAGTTCGGTGCGCCCTACTTTAAACAAAAGGATAATTGCCCTTATAGAAGTGACAAATTAAGTCATCTGCTTTGTTTTGCTTTTCCTTTTCTCTTTCCCAACGGTTCTGTAAGAGGAGTACCCATTTGTCTTTTTTATTTTTTTTTTTCGAGTTTATAAGCAGCTTAGTTATCTTTTGGAGTTATGGCATTGGGTGCATTGCCAAAGGTGTTCAAGCGTGAAGGCCCTTAATGAATGGGAGCCATCCTCTAGTCAAAAGACAATAATGCTCTTTTCATGCTCTATATTGATTTCATGAGTGATGGTAATTATGCTGTCTAGACAATCTAGTGTCCTTAGCATCAGAGCTAGGGCCCTGTGGAGTGCCACCCATGTTCCTGGGTGCTGTTTCCATTCCCTTCATCCTTATTAGAATTTTTAACACCTTATTGTTAAAGCTTTCTTCCTTTCTGGCTTTCTCCCTTTAAACTCTCAAAAAATGATGCTTGATTTCATGTCAAATTTAGGCATTTCCTTTAGTTCATTGGTTAATCAATATGATATATTGAGATTTGCCACATAAAATGACAGATTTAGGCTTGATTACCTATCGAATATTGGTCATTCCATTACTTATAGCTTCTTGAAAATTTTCTCGTAAATTCATTGGCTACTAACAACTCCATGTTACACTGCAAGAACTGAATGCACGATTACATAGTTTATTCAGGACAATACAAAGATCAATCCAAACTGTCCAAGCAAGATAGTTTAATGTCTTATGAAAGGCCTCTAGCAAGGGCAGTTACAGGGTCAGGGTTACATGGATGCACCTTCCTCTCCCACCATTGGAGCGTGTAATCCACGCTTCGAGAATTTTATCACATGGTATATTGAGAGCTAGTGATGTTATAGTATGGGGTGTTGTATTCTGTCTGAATTTGATAGCTATTTGTCAAATGAAGTGGGCCAAAGATTTTTACCTGGAGAGACACTTTCTGTTGTCATTGAGGACGAAAACAACAGTTCTTCTGCGGTAATCTTATGTATCATGGGCACTTGGAAAGCATAAATTGTTGACAGATGGGTACAGATTTTTTATTCAGAATTCAGAAAATTAGGATCACATACCAGGCTGCAGACTGGAGATTGCCTGGAAACCATAAAAGTTTTTCTGCATTTCTTGCAACATTTTCCTCAACTTCTCCTGACGACATTTCTATTGTCCTTTTACTAAAGTGGTGCTCTTTATTCTCAGGTTCAATTATACGACCAAGCACAAGAATAATTGACACAATCTGCGGCATCCAAAGCAGCTTTAACACCACAACCTCTCTGAGAAAGAAAATGGAACCAGGTTCTCTCGATTCTCTGATATATATATATATATATA